TCCCTTCCGACCCTAGAAACTATGAAATTATGAAACTATAAATTGGCACCAGTGATTGAATTACATATATAACTTGTTGTTTCATTTAAGTTATACACAAGTTATCGGAGTACTTCTGGCCATAATTCTGCAAATCAAGTAGTTGACATTGAATGTAACTTTAAAATTGTGTCGGTGTAAATTCTGCCTGCAGAAAGGTGTGAAAGTTCATCCCGGTCCTTATGCACATATTTCTTTTCCACTTGCTGCATCTGTACAATAGTTGTGAAAACTGCTGTATTTTTCTAGATAACAATGAATGTGGTTCACAGACATCACTTTGTGGATCAAAAGGAATCTGTCAGAATACTCCTGGGAGTTTCACTTGCGAGTGTCAGAGAGGATTCTCTCTGGATTCTACTGGACTCAACTGTGAAGGTAACTTGTAAAGGCCAAAAATTCTTTGTTAAGGTAGACATGTCCTGTCTTTAGTTATACAAAATACTCCCTGGCCTATAGAAGTTGCCCATATGTGCCAAAGCAAAATCAAATACAAATATAGTTCAAGGCTCCTGCTATACATTACACTTAAGATGTGATTAGCCAATTAATTGTGTCTTAAGTTGTGACCCAGCCACCCATTCGGTCAATTAATGGTGTGATAAACTGAGAAATAAGCCACAAAGTTATTCCACAAAAAAATGTGTAACAACTTTACATAGCTCATTTCTATCATGCTGTTAAATTGAACATTTGGCTAGGTACCCCCTTGAGCCTGGAAGCCCCATCAGCTGACAGGATTTGCCGCAGGGCACACTTACACTCAAGCAGTTGGGAGTCCCACAGCTGGCAAAGCTCGCAGCCACAGGCACCTGCCATGAGCTCCAACAACTCGGAGGCCCATCAGCTGCAGGATTCCCAGCCACATGAGCTTGCTACTTGCTAGTGCAGTGGAACCTAGGATCACAATCCTGGGCTCTCCCTGCATGAGCATTAAGGTGCAATTAGATTTGATGCTCAGTCCCACAGTCATGCCTCCTGTCATACACTTGTGGCATGGCAAGAGAAATGATTGTGTGGATCATGTGTCAGATCCTATCATGTCTTTACCTGAACATAAAGGGGCCTAAGTAGATCAAATTTTACTCAAGCTTTATCCTATATTTGTTTACAAACTGTAGGACCTAACTCCACAGCTGCAACATTACTTTCTGGCATATGCATAACATATGTTTCATTCCCCTTCCTACCTCCCCATTCAAACACACGGCTGTGGATCATTTTTAAAAAATACTCATTTTTATAAAAGTATTGATTTTTGGAGATAAACAGGACCTATCAGAATGGGATTCTGATCTGTGACCAGGGTTTGTAGGCTACAATAATGCCAGTAACTAACAGTTATATTCTCCAGGCAGCCTAGCTCAAAACCTGATACTCCATCCCTTCTCTGAGTATGGCAAAGGAAAGAGCAACTGACTTCAGTACCCATCTCATCAGCCTCAGTGGTTCCACATTTCTCCAGGAGCCAAAGTTCTACTTCTGGCTCTTTGGTGCAAGCTGGACCAGAGCACTAAGCAAGGGAAAATGAATTGCTGGCACCTGAGATGGGCCTGAAGAGGGAAGAAGACAGAAAAAGTATGCATACTTGGCTACAGAAAAGCAAAAAGTTCAATGGCAAAATTGCTGGATTCAAATTCCACAGCTCTTTTTTCAGGCTGTCTACACATTCAGGCAAGCAGTGCTGCAGCGGTTTTACATTTTGTTTGCTGTTCAAGGATCTTAATGCAACCATACACATTTAACTTAAAGTTGATATTTGAGGGTACATTTTCACAGCAAGGCACAGAATATGCATAACCAAGCATGGAGTAGGAGCTTGCAAGGTGATAAGATACAGTAACTTAGAATGTGATGAAAATATTTTAAGTAAAAAAAAGAGAGTCACCATAATAAGCATGTTAAAGAATGGGTATTACTGGAGAAGAGGCAATGCCATGTTTTAAAAGTATAAAGTATCCTTTAAGTAGTATTTAGTCAGTGACTTGGGGTTTAACTATTTTATTACATTGTAAATGCCCCAACACTATAAACATAACACTGTGATAAGGCAAATGCACAAAAATTGGCACAGTTAAAACCTTCTATTCCAGTTGCCACTAAAAGGAGAATGTAGCACTGTATTTTTCTGTCTCAAGTTTTTGGATGTCACAATCCCCACAGAACTAGTAAAGCATATTTCTGGCTACAAGCTGGAGAAATATCATTTGTAGTTGATGATGTCATGCTTAGTGGTATATGTGTGCTGTTTTAATTTTTAACTAACAGTCTGTTTTCCCTGACTTTTGTTAAACTGCTTACGATTTCCTGTTAGGTATGAGTTTTATTAGCTGTGCATTTTTCTAAAAACAGGAGACTGTTTCAAACAAGTGTTTCCCCTTTATTACTGTCCCTTTCTTCCTTTAAGCGTAAGCCGGGAAGTTTTTTATTTGACAGTCTTCTTTTTACTGTGGACAAATCAGACCATCTCAGTGCTTGTCTTGCATATTTTTATCTCTCATACTTGAGTGCATTCCTAAGTGCCTTGCAAACTAGAAAATAAATCACTTGCAAAACAAATTTCTGGAAATTGATTCCAGGTCTTTAGAAGTCTAAATGAACACCAAATTGGCAAGCTAGGGCACCTATACACATGCCCGATGCCTGCTCCAACACATGCTAATTAGTTTGCTTTGGAGCAGACTTGTTTAACCTATTTAGTATGCTGTTTAGTATGCTCCAGCAGCCTCAACATCTCAGGTATTCAGCATCCCCACATTTCAAAATGGCAGCAGAGGCACTTTAACTAAAGCTTGTTTGAAAAGCTTTATAGTTAAAGCCCCCCTGTCACCATTGTGAAGCATAGGATGCTGAATACACCTAACGCTGTGGATGCTTTAAATTAGAGTGGCTCCCAAGAGCTGCTCTAACTAAAGCACCACTCCACTCCCATCCCAGAGCACATGTAAAGACACCCCTAAGTATCCCATTACCATTTTAAAAAAATGTTGGCACTTTGCCCCAATTCAGGAAGGAATCCTGATGATATCAATTAGTAATTCTACACCTACAATTATCGTCTTACTGCTTTAAGAATACCATAGCATTTGTGTAAACTATATTTCTGCTAATTGCTGTGCAGTATACTCAGTGGCTGCCATGAGGTTCATTCTTTTAAAGCAAATCACCCCAAATGATTTCTGCATTGGCTTTCTAAACTGAAAGTTTGGCTTTCACTTTAGAACATAGCTGAGTAGAGGTAAGAAGTTCTAAATAGCCAGATACAGAGTCTAGTAAGCAAGAGAAAATTTTCCAGAAACATTCAAACGATAAGAACCCAAGTCACTTTTGAAAAAGGGATTAAGGCTCTTAATATTTGAAAACCTTCAGTAGGCACAATGCTGACCCCAGCAGCCTTACCTGGCATCCTGGGGGCCTCCTGGGGCTGCAGCAGCAGTGATCCTGCTGGGCGGAGCCTAGCTGGCACCTACAGTGCAGTTCCGGGTGGTCCAGCTCTGCTTTTCAGCACCATGCACTACCCGTGCGTGCACTGCTCCACTCTTTCTTTCCATGGGTTCCGTGGGTTTTTTTGACCCCTGGATATCCAGGGGTCAAAAAAACCCACAGGGGAAAAAAGAGCGGAGCAGTGCATGCTGTGCGGTATTTGGTGCTGCAGATGTGTTTGCAGTGCCACATACCGCATGGCCATGCTTGTCTGGATGTACCCTATGTGGTTACTGTGGTTGAATCCAGTTCTTCAGCTAATACTTATAAAAATTGTTCCATAACCTCCACATGTAATGTGCCAAGTATCATCATGCCATAGGAGTATCTTCTGTTTGCATTGCTAATCATAATTATTGAAATAAGTCTTTTTGGCCATTTACCTGTTTTCAAAGATGTGGATGAGTGTGATGGAAATCACCGGTGCCAGCACGGCTGCCAGAACATCCTGGGTGGCTACAGGTGTGGATGCCCACAAGGGTATATTCAGCATTACCAATGGAATCAGTGTGTTGGTAAGTTTGATCTCTTTACAGTATTCTAGAAGTTATTTGTAAATAGAAAAACACTCGTTCTCAAAAGTCCTATTAATAAGTGGCTTACTTCAGTTCAATAAATTTGGTGAACACTTCTTTTTTATGAACAGCAAGGCCTAGTGAAAAGGCACTGTCCTGGAACTCTGGAAACCTAACTTGTAATCTCACTTCTTGGAGACTTTGGTCAAGTCATTTCACCTTTTTTGCCTTACTTTCCCCTTCTGTAAATGGCTCTGATAAGCTCTTAGATAAGCTAGATATTATAAAGTATATAATTATATAAAATCATGCCATCTGAGTGTTACTGCCCTGCTCCAGGAGAAAGACACAAGCTTTTACTGAAATAAAATTAAAATATGTTATTGTCGATGTTTAATTTTTAGTAGCAGCGCATCAATATATTGGTCTGTATTGTATCGGCACTGATAAAAAAGGGAGAATTGATGTTACAGGCAACCAAACGGGGTTTTGCTTACTGTAGTTTCGCTATAGCACTCATTAAAAATACCTACCTGATTTTACTTAGCGTTCAGCGGTTTTGTTATAATGCTCAGCGCAGGAGGTAGGGAGAAACAGTGGTGGCAGCAGTGGTGGTAGCAGTGTTGAGTGAAGCGCTGAGTGGCAGCTGGTGAGGCCCAGGGTGGGGTGGCAGGAGCCCAGGATCTGCTCCAGCACGTGTTGCTGGAGCGGGTTAGGAGAAGCAGTGGCAAGAAGGGGTGGGTGGGGGGCCAGGCAGTGTAAGCATGGAGCCTGGGCCAGTGGGGCCCAGAGCAGGGTGGCAGGAGCTCAGGGTCCACTCTGGCACATGGTGCTGGAGCAGGTGGGGAGAAGTAGCAGCGAGAAGGGGCAGGCAAGGGGCTAAGCAGCATAAGCATGGAGCCTGGGCTGGTGGGGCCAGGGTGGGGTGCCAGGAACCCGGGGTCCACTCTGGCATGTGGCAGTTGAGCAGCCAGCGGGTGGAAAGTTGCAGCAGTAATGGCGAGAAAGGGCGGTGGGGAGCATGAGCATGGGCCCTGGGCCGGTGCCCAGAGCCAGGGGTGGCAGGAGTGCAGGGCCCAAGGCCAGGGCTGCCAGGAGCGCGAGGCCTGGGCCGGTGCAAACCAGTGCTCAAGGGTATGTGTGCAGTGTCCCCCGCCAGTAGGGGCCATCGTGGCCACAAAACAATGGGGCTGGGAGGATGCCTTCCCTGGCAGAGCCCGCACAGTGCCTTGCCAGGAGCAGCAGGGCCAGGGCCGGCAGGAACCAATTATATTTATTTACATTAAACTCTATGGGAAAATGGGTTTCGCTTAACATGTTTTCACTTAGTGCTTAGTTTTTCCAGAACCAATTAAAAGCGCTAAGCAGAGGTTGCCTGCATCAGCAATTGGCTTTTTTTGACCAATAATGTCATTGATAAATGCCTTGTTCATGTGCACAGCCGCAGCATGTATGTGGCCAAGAATGCAGCCAGGCAGCTTGGAGAGCAGCCTCCTGCTGGTAAGTCTGTGAGAGGAAGGGGTGTGGGCGGTGCAGACTGAGGCCGCCATGTTGAGGTAGGGAGTGGAGCTGGGGTGGGGCATGGGAGGGAGCCATGGGTAGCTCATTTGGGGGAGGTTGGGGTGGCTCTCACCACTGTGCACACCCCCAGGGAGGCATGGGGGACATGTGCCCCCTGGATCTGTGCGCAGGGTGAGGGTAGACTGCCGCCATGGGCTGGGGGCTGCATCAGCCTCTTCCCAGTAGGGGGCTGGGCTCAGGACGGGTAGTGGTGAGGTGGGGCAAGCTTTGTCAGTGTTGGGAGGGCTGGGCTACAGGGTGGCTGCAGCCCCCCCACATAATCCCCCACCCAGTGTTGCCATTGCTCAGCCTGTCCTCATCTACCCCAAGCACAGCTCCAGCCCAGCCCCTCTGCTGGGAAAAGGCCACAGCGGGCAGCCTGCCCTCTCCCTGCAAACAAATCTGGGGGGCACATGCTCCCTTTGCCTCCCCAGGGGTGCACGCAGTAGGGGGAGCTGTTCCCTGAATGAGCTGCCTGTGGCTACACCCCTTCCGTCCCCACAGACTTACTGGCCGGATGCTGTTCTCCAAGCTGCGGGGCTGCATATCAGCAGTTGGATTGGTATCAGCCAATATGGCTGGTTAATAATTGGCCATTGGTATCACCCAAAAAAATCTTTATCTGTGCACCCCTCATTTTTAGTATATAACTTGGGTTTTTTCTGGTTCCAAGGTGGCAAACTCCCTTGCCGAAAGGAGTACTTCCAGAAGCAAAGGGAGGGACTTCCAGTGGCAATGGTCAGGGGTTAGGGGCAGGACTTCCAGTCCATGGATAGCTACCAGGGGATGTGACACCTGTCAAGGGGCAGGGTTACCTGTGCAGCCCTTGACAGCTCACCAAAACTCATTCAGCAGCCCTCCAGCCAAAATAATTGCCCACATCTAGTGTAAGGTAATGACGAGAAGAAATGGTACGCAAAATAAGATGTAGTTCAGGAGAGCTTTTGAAGCCCTGCTGATAACTAGTTCAGCTAACATTTTTTAAGCCCAGATGATCCCAGGTGGAGACTTAAATGTTAATTCGTTTAGCCTCTGCAGATGCATTTGTAGTCTCCAGCTATTTATGAGCATTCCAGTCCTCTTTAGATTTTAAAACTTTCACAATGGACCTTATGAAATTTCTTGGTGTATATGAAGGAACGGGTGAAGTATTGACTACACTGTGAATGAAGTATTGAATACACAGTGGGCACATCCACACAAGACATCCGCTGCGTAGTTGTTATGCCCACTGTATTGTTGGATAGCCAAGTACTAAATGACTGAGCTGGCATAGTGTTGCATCACTATTGCCTAGTGACACTCGCTGCACAGTAACTCGTTACTACTACGCAGTAGCTCAGTACTGTGCAGTAACAGTTCATGCCCGACAACACTACTATGCATTAGAAACAAGCTACTGCACAGTAAGCGTCTCCTGTAGACATGGCCAGATTTGAATACCAGTATTTTAGCAACAACTTTGTAAATTGTTTAACTTTAATGAGATGCACAATTATGAGAAAGGAGTCAAACCATAGTAAGCTTCAAAGTGTCCTAGTACAGATATGCAACAAGGCACATCAGAGAGAAGCAGGGAATCAGCCTAAGTGCTAAATGATAACTGCTTAAAATAATGTGGTAAATTTTGAGGAGTGTAAATATGAATAATTTATGACTATTCTAAATATTATTTTTCTATAGGATCATTTCATGTGGTGGGCTTAAATGTAAACAATGTGATTAACTTTAATTACATGGTAATTTGTCTGCATACCATAACTGCCCAGACATTAAGAAAATCTAACTTCATCACAAAAACTGCATTTTCACCTAAGTTAATCTTGTTTCTGTATATCTGATTTAGTTTCCCAATTAGGATAGACATGCTGCATATAAATGTCAGATCTAATTATATCTGAACAACAAAACCTGGTTACAAACCTAGCAAATGTGCTTTTTCAGGCATGATTCCAGCTCTGCTGAACATGGCAATAAAATACCCAATAAACTTGTGCCAAATGTAATTTCTTAAGGGATTTTTAAAACTATTTTAGTTCTCTTAATGTACATGTACACAATGCATTTTTAACATGTCGATTATAGTTTCCTGCATTAGCAAGAGAGAAAACCATTGAGAAACACAAGATAATTTGAAATGTAGGATTCTGCACTTTTATTTAGAGAAGTTTGGCCAAACAGAATACCACCCTCTAACTGAGGGAAGAAGCAAAGATGGTTTTGTATTTAAGGTACCGAACTTAGAAATGTTTGGTTGGTACCAAAGACTTATGAAAGGAATCTGGCTGGATCAGTTCTCTTTGACTCACTTCCCCAGCTGCACGAAGGATAATGATGGTGTCCTCCTACCAAGCAAAAGTTGTGAAGATATACCCTGAGAGGATGCTTAGTAGTTTGAGCTATATAGCAGCTTCCACAGATAGGCTGTTTTTCTTATTCACTGGATAAAAGTTTGATCAATCTATACAGCAATCCATAAAGCAGATACAAGAAAATGTCCAATTTCCATAAAGCCCAGATTTGAACAATGTATTTGATTATCCCCAGATAAATGACACAGGCATTTAGAATCATGGAAATATAGGGTGAGTCCGCAGTGGGTTTTCTGGTCCAACACTTTGCTTAAGACAGGATCATCCCTATCTAAACTATTCTAGACAAGTGTCTGGCCAATTCTTAACATCTTTGGGGACACCCTTCACACACAACTACAAGACATAACACCCAACACCAAAAACTCCCTTCAACTTGCCACAGGTAAAGGAAGAGGATGGAAGCATTGAAAATGTCTTACCACTAGAATGACAGGACATAGTTTGTTAAAATGGGCTCAGAAGATTCAAGGCAGTCACAATGAATTAAAGGCAGAAAAACAAGGAACCCAAACAGAAACCCTATTAATACTGTGTTTCTGAGACGTTCCCACTTATTTTGAGCCATGCTTGTTTACAATATTCTGAACTCCCCGCTCCCTTTAAAAAAGAGCTTGTTCCAGTGTTTGACCACTCTCATACGATATATTTAAAGGGTTTTATTCCTTTGTATTTTGTAATTCTGGGGGAGGGTTCAATATGGTAACTTTAAGAACTCTTGGTGAATGAGAACCTGTGAACACAAGGGCTTGGACCCAATAGACTAGGATCCTGGCCTTTTCACTTCCTCTGATCCTATGAAAGGGGAGACATGCATTGCTGCACTTGACTGTGGTGGAGCTTACAGTGAATGATCATGAGAGTTGTGTTGCTAAAAGTCATGTTTGGCACAGGTTCAAGAAATAATTAATTAGGAATTACCGAAATATTTACCACTTCTTGGAAATCATATTTGCAATTCCTTCCCTCAGTAACAGTATCTTTTCATCTGGATAAATAACATGTTGTTTGCTTGCTAGATGAAAATGAGTGTTCCAACCCTAATGCTTGCGGCTCTGCTTCTTGCTACAATACACTCGGAAGCTACAAGTGTGCGTGTCCATCTGGATTTTCCTATGACCAGTTCTCCAGTGCATGCCATGATGTGAATGAGTGTTCCTCTACTAAGAACCCCTGCAATTATGGTTGTTCCAATACAGAAGGTGGCTATCTCTGTGGCTGTCCACCTGGATACTACAGAGTTGGACAAGGGTGAGCTTCTCTTCCACACATTCTACATTAGTGATAATTATACAGCAGTGGTTCCCAACCTTTTTTTGTCATGACCCGCTGCTGGGAGCGCAGTGTGGCACAGCTCATCCTTTGTGTGCGGCACCACCAGCATTGCTACTGCGACCCTTATTTGGGTCATGACCCGAGGTTGGGAACCGCTGTTATAGAGCAATAAGTTATATACCCTTAGGAAACGTGAGCTGCCTAAATAAGGTTTACAGAAAACTCTGTCTATACCAAAACTAGGGTAAGAGTACTAGAAGTCTCTAACCTTTGCGTGCTACTGAGTGTTGCATGATGGTAGCCTCCACAGAGTGCAAGGCCAGTGGTCTGGCCAGCTGTTGGCCTAACCTCTCAGACAGGGGTCATGTAGCAGACTAATAGAGCTGCAGAAATGAGTGGTGTGTGCTGATGGATTAGGGAGAGGCTTCCAGCTATGTATGTGGGTTGTACACAAAGAATTGGCTCAGTTTAGCATCAGAACAAGAAGGTATGAATCTGTCTACATTCAGTGCAGAAAACCATCATTTTAAATCTAGCATGTGACCCAAGTTAAATAAAATTGTATTTCCCCTTTTTGCTTGTCAGCACAGTGTGCATTTAAAACTCACTTCTAAATGTAATCCTAGGCTAATATTCTTTACAAAAGGTGCAATCTGTGCTGTGGTTATTAAGGGCTCAACCCAAAAATAAAGCAAAAAAAAGGAAATCATTCAAGAGTTTCCTTGTTTCCAACAGGGGTTAGAATTCAAGAGGAAAATTGGCGTCCCAAGGAACTCTTCTGTTCATTGTTCTGTGTATTGAGGATTACCAGGGATAATTACAGACCTCTCTAACACATAACCACCCTTTTATTTAGTATGTTGCACTGTACAGAACAAAGAAATACAATAAATTCATAGTTTTATGGGGTAGTAGTGCTATGAGTTAAGTGGTCTCACTCCTAAGTGAAAGAGATTAAACTGAGGTAAAATGAAAAGGGTTTTTTTGAGGTTGACCAGTTTGACAAATGGGTCGCTAATCTGGTGATCACTGTTCAACAGCCATTGCGTCTCAGGGATGGGATTTAACAAAGGCCAGTACCTGCCTTTGGATGGAGATGTAGATGAAGAAAATGCCTTATCTCCAGAAGCATGTTATGAGTGCAAACTGAATGGCTATTCAAAGAAAAATAGCAGGAGGAAAAGAAGTGTGAATGAAACTCAGCCTGCTGAGGTGAGTGAATATTGTAACGAACTACAGTTAGTTTGTATATATGTTCAGGGGCTGTCATACTCTATGATTTTGGCAGAAGAAAAGGGTGGAGATCTGTTGGTCACTGTGAAGGATCATGTAGCCATAGGGTTTGTACATGATGAAAGGCTTTCAAACCTGAGTGGCATGAGGACAGCCATATTGCACTGGAATTACTAACTGACATTAGAGAACAATGCTTCTGAATAAGGCTCAATATCTTCCTGTTACTTCGATGCATATGTTTGAAGGGAGTGAGCCAATACTGGCATGTGTGCTGGGGGAAATGTATAATTGGCTCCCACCACCAAGTGCATTTAGAAGAATTCCCATTGTAGTCATTTTTTGTTAAAGCTGCTAGAAGCCTTAAGACCTACACCTACACCTATTAGGTTATGTAGCTTTAGTCTGGGAGACGTTACACGGCTCATTAGTCTGTGTATTGCTGCAGTGCTTCTACCTCGCTTTGCTGCACATTGCTGTAAAGCTGTGTTATCTGCATTACAGGATGTTGTTTTATGGCAGTAACCCAACTGCTGAAAGTTGTAATAAGGGAAAAGCTATTGCCAGGGTTAAAGGAAGGCAGCGGCCAAAAGATATGAATCGTCTCACAGTTTTAAAAGGGCTCTGAGTGAGGATGAAAAGGGATATGGAAACGAGAACCTGCCTCATACTAAGCATACATATTGTAGTATTGACAACATTTCTTACACATGCCAACTAAGCAACTCTTCCGACAGAACACCACAATGGCACATTAGTTATCTGATATTAAAAAGGAATTTGGGATTCCCGTGGTGTGGACTGCAAAAGGCTGCGTCACTCCCACAGCATGCGAGTGACTCTCCTCCATATGTGAACAGGATAGCTGAGTTCATGGTGTTCTGTTCTGTAGCATATCATTCCCAAAACTCATGCATTACTTGGCTTTCGAAGGCAATTTCTTGAGAGATTTGCATGCTTACCCTCCCTTCTCTATCATGTTGAAAGCTGGTATTAAATACCAAAAAGCAGAGGGAAAGAGCGGGTAGGGGAAGGGACAGGAGGACCATGTGACTGACTAAGGTTTAGGTTTGAACTGAAACAATTTTTTGTCCATCTTCTAGCAGGGGAAAACCAAAAAAAAAGTTGGGGGGTGGCACCTAAACCAAATATGCCCAATATGGTCCCCAATTATTTTACATAGCATCATTCACAAAATGGAGGAGAGGTGGCAGTACCCTCCCACCCAATTAGCTTATTGCTTAAAGCACTCAGGATGTGAGAAACCCAGATTCAATTTCAGTCTTCTGCTTGAAATGATTTGAACATGTATCTTCTAGGAGAGGACTTGCCAGGCTGTAGGTCCTTTGGGGCAATGCACTCCCATTCTCGCCTTCTGGAGCTGTTACATTTTGTGCAAGATACAGAAATGTTCATTGAGCTGGAGAGAGTGAAAGCAACTCTCCCTGCCTGCCAAAGCAAAGCCCTAGGCTCTATTCCCTGCCCCTGTGAATGCTCATTTATCTGAGGTGAACAAGCATGACAGGAGATAGTGAGAGCAAATTCCTTTTCCCCCAGCACACATTTGTGGTAAGGGCACTCTTGGGGCAGGAGCGGTGGGGGTGCGGGGGGGAGACATTTTATCAGCCTAATTTGTGCAACAGTTTTAGGATGAATTCACCTACATTTATGATGGATTTGCCAAAAGTTTGCTGAGTATTAGAGGAGAAAATTTTGTGCGTGTGTCTGGAGATAAAAGCATATCATTGCTATGTGCAGCAGTGGCAGGAAGATGGAGGAAAGTGGTACATTTCCTTATTTGTCACTTGAAAACAGTAACATGCCCCAGAAGCAAAGCAGCTTTGATACTTTTAATGGTATACAAGCACACTGTTATTTTGTCAGTGCACTACCCAAGGTTACAACTCAGCACTTCACTCTTACCACTGTGGTCAATTTACATCATTTACTGTTTTCAGGGTTATTTTGTAACTTAAAGAAAAGAGGACCCTGTAACTAGGATTAAAAGAAAAATATTTAGACCTATGTACTTTTGACTGCAAAATATAAGAGCACTTTGCAAAGAGAAGTTTTCAAAGTAAAGTAAAAAATCCATCCGATGAAATAGTTAATTTCTCATTTAATTCAGTGCTCCCTATTATTATTACAATATCTAGTTAATGTCAGGCAAGAGCTATTACAAGTCATTGTTGCCTAGTGCTATTAGGTCTGTGTGAAATCCCTAGTTTCATTTGGGAATATTCACAGCAAGTACACAGACCCCATGGAAAAAAAAATCTTGGGGGGTTGGCTGGCAGCGTGCCTGAGATTTAATCACAACTTGTCCCAATGCCTCCAGACATCAACAATTTGCCTTACTGTGCTGAATGTTTCATCTCCAGCACATAAAATATAGTAGTATAGGGCCATCCACTTCCCACCTTTACAAATGCACATCAACCCTAACAGCAGAAATTCTCATATGCAGGAGAGAGAGAACCGTATTTACCTACAAAAAAGGCATAGTCCTTTCTTAACTGTTTTCTTTAGAGGCATCTGTAAAAGCTTGTGTGTTGCCAAAACAAAGCTTTAGGTCATTGTGTCCATTTTTGCTTACATATGTTCACATTGGACACAAATTAATGTCTGGAGTGGAACCAAACAGGTTTGTTTTACAGAGAAATTTACCTTTTTCAGCTGATTTGCCAAGAATGTAGTGGATTTCTTTCCTTCATTGCTCTTACCATGAGATGCTGAACCTAGTTCCTTTTGAAAGCAGGTTCGTAGACTGTCTGTGAAGTGTTCTACCTACATTTTCAGAGAACATCCAGCACAGCATAGTGGCACAGGGTCCTATTCTTCATCTATAATATTTACACTGAAGTATAATTAGGTCATTTGAACCAGTTAGAAGAGACTGGACCTCATGTTTCTTCCCTCCACAGTTAAACATGTGCCTTTTCTCCACATGGACTTTTTTTGCAAGCATAAAATTATGTAAACTCTGAGGAAGGATTGAAATATGAACCCTCTGTAGACTTGATGCTGTAACTTTAATTATCCTGTTAAGCCTGAGTGAGAAGCCTTAAAGATTTACAGGGTGTGTGATGTGGAACAGAGTAGTTCTCCCAGCTGGAAAGGATATACAATGCCTTCTTTCACAGCTGTAGTTTGAGAGAAGGTCAGAAACTGTTACTAATCCAACTCATTAGCTTTCATTGCTGGAGGAATAATAGAGTATGTCTCTCTAAAGGTCCTTTTTTTCCTCTTTCACCTCAGATTGAACAGATTAGCTTGGAAAGTTTAGACATTGACACTCCTCTGAAGATGAGGTTCAACAACTCTGGGCTTGGCAACAAGCACCACATCCTGGAACTCATGCCAGCCATAGAACCCCTTACCAATCACATCCGCTATGTCATCTCCCAAGGCAATGATGATGGCATCTTCCGAATCCATCAGCGGGATGGACTCAGTTTCCTGCATATGACCAAGAAAATATCAGTACCTGGCACTTACACACTGGAAATCATTAGTGTTGCTCTATACAAGAAGAAGGAGCTAAAGAAACTGGAAGACCAGAATGAGGACAACTACCTCCTAGGAGAACTTGGTGAAGCTCTCAAAATGAGGCTGTGGATTGAACTCTATTAGCTGTCTTCCAGATTTAGTCCAGTTCTTCAGTCACTTCCGTTCATCTATTTATCCACCTGAGCATGTCTATTTTTCAAAGCTTTAAGTAGTCAATGACTTGACTTTTAAAAGAAAAACTAAAAAAGTGGGGGGGGGGGGGGGGGGGGGAGAAAAGAAAAAGACCTCTCTATCTTTCCATCCTGCCAAGACTGCAGAATGACCCTACAGGAGGGGCAACTTTGACTCTGCCATGGCCAAATGCTTGATTACAATGGCAACCATGGTTACTGTAGCTTTTATATAACCTCAGTTTAAAGTGTATTAAAAAAAAAGCCTAAAGTTCAAGAGGTCAACATATGGCACTAAATGGCACAAAATGTGAGCTATTTTTTTCTGTTAGCAGTCTATAACACTTTAGGTATTTTGCTATAGTTCCTAATTAAAAATATAGATGTTTATTTATTTTTAATGCAGTAATATATGGAGAAATTAACAAATTATGTAAGCAGAAAGGGAAACGTGCTTGTTTTTCTTTAGATTTATAAATTTGAGCTATTACATTTTAGAGTTACTTTCTTAAAAAAAAATTCCAGTAGATTTGAAAGATGTTTCCTTTTGTTTTTGTGCCAGTCGTCCAAATAGCATAGGGATATTTTTAAAATATCACAGATCTGAAAGAGCACTGTAATACATCCTCTAGATATTCTGAAGTGCTCTTCAAAACTATGACTATTCAAAATATGTCTTAAATGAACTGTAATTACAACATTAGTCTCTGTAAAGAGGATATTTCACTGCAGGTCACTAGGACGTTTTTCTGTATCAGCTATATCAAATAATGGAAGCTGAAGCACAACCACTGTAGCAAAATACCTTGACTGCTTGTAATACCATTAGCATTGCAGACCAAACCGTACTGTATTTCCTTCTGATAACCTCAAGGAACCAGATGTGCTACCACAACACCTCATTCTCACAAAAGGTGCTCTACATACTTGCATTACTGTAGGCAGCTGAAGAAAAGAGTCTTTTTTTGAAGGGAACACCTGATGTATCATACTATTTGGTGCTGGCTTGGATTAATAGTGCATTTACTAACATTGAGCTGTTTCAGGACTGCCATATGTGCAAGGCTAATTATGCAGTGCAGACAAGGGAAATGTGTATTTGAAATCAATTTGTTAGAACTTACATTAATACTGTAGTTATACACCGTACGCCTCATTTTATCATAGCTTATTTTGTAAGAAAGATGTTTGTACAATGAGTTGACATTTAGTTTACCTTAGTAATTTTTTTTAATGTTGTACCATATTATGTGTTAAACGTATGTCTCAATGGTGCTTTTTTGACAGCTGGTGCCTGTACCTAGTCATGTAACAGAACTTCATAATATGTGAAACAGCCAAAGAACATGCCAACTCCAGGGGGGTTTTTTCCAGTTGTATACCGGTGCTGACCAAAGATTACTAACAAGTGATCACTTTTTTATTATTATTATTTTGTTTAGTTTGGGTGTTTTTTTGGGGAGGGGAACATTGTAAATTTTTAATCAAATATTTGTGAGAAAAAAATGTTTTGTTTGTAGGTCTGTATCAATATGACAACACTTTTCTTGCAATAAAGCTTATTTTGGGGTAGGTTTTTTTCTTGACTTGCCCGTGTATTTCAAACAATGTATATGCTAACCCCCATTTGCATTCTCCAATGGCACTATTAGGTTAATAAGTAATGGTGAGCTACATGTTTCTTCCACTAGGGAGATACTGCCCCACTATCATAGAATCATAGATGTAGGGTCGGAAGGGACCTTGTAGATCTTCAAGTCCGACCCCCCTGCCTGGGCAGGAGAAAAACTGGGCTCAAATGAGTCCAGCCAGGTAGGCATCAAGCCTCTTCTTAAAGACCCCCAGGCTAGGAGCCAGCACCACTT